CATCTCCTCAACAAAGTTTTTACCATAAACTACAACTATCTTCCAACAAGAGGCGGAAGACAGCATTTACTTTGTTAAACTAGACCATAAAATTTGACAATATTTTGAGCAAATAGGCTGATGCCTTTTCCTTTGCTTTCATTCCAATAAATAGTAGTTTGTACAATCTATTTTAGAATAATATTCAGTATATTCTAAATTAAGTAACTTAATTAATAGATAGTCATAATCTAAATAATTAGCTAAAAGGAAAGAATCCGTGTAAATATAATATTTCCCTCTTTGCAGTATTGCGAAGAAGGAAACTCTTTATTCTGTCTGATTTCTTTTATTCCTGATTGATATCTCCCTTCAAATTGATGCTGGCTGGTCAAGAAACATCAATTTGCTGACATGAAACTGATGGCGCTGTCGAGAAAGAACTTTAGTAAATATATCAGTCATTTGAAGATCTATGAGGAAGAGATATAACACCCTTCTCATAGGCTTCTCGAATGAAATGACAATCCACTTCAATGTGTTTCGTACGTTCATGAAAGACGGGATTAGCAGCAATCTGGATAGCACTAGTATTATTTGCATGAAGAGAAGTAGACTCAAGCTGAGGAAAACCAAACTCAGCCAGCACGCCACGAAGCTAAATGATTTCAGAACAAACAGAGGACATAACGCGATATTCTGATTCTGTAGATGACTTAGACACTCGATCTTGTTTCTTGCTCTTCCAAGAGATTAAAGAGTTGCCGAGAAACATGCACGATCCAGTAATAGATCAGCGTGTATCAGAACAATCAGCCCAATCGACATCATTATAGGCTGTTAAGGTGATAGGAAACTTCGCAGAAAAGAACAAACCACGATAAGAAGTACCTTTCGAATCTTGAATAATACGTCAAATTGCAGCTAAATGAAGATATGTAGGTGCTTGCATAAATTGACTAACTTGTTGCACATCAAATGAAATATCAGGACGCGTAATAGTCTGTAATTGAGACTGCTAACCAGTTGTCTATATAGAGATGGTTCAGATAGAATTTCACCATTATTCTGTTGATATTTGACATTTACTTCCAAAGGGGTATCAGTGGAGCGACCATCTTGAAGATCAGCCAAAGCAATGAGTCCCTTCGTATAGTTGTGCTGATGAAGAAAAATACCAGCGGCAGAAGAGTGAACCTCGAGTCCTAAGAAATAAGTTAATGACCCTAAATCTTTCATATGAAAAGAACCCTGAAGACGTTTTTGTAGCTGAGACATCAATTGATTATCAGATCTTGTGATGATAATATCATCAACATATACTAATAACAAAACAATTCCCTTGTCAGTCTTGCAAGGAAATAATGATGAATCATACTGACTTTGAATAAAAGAGAAGTTAAGAAGGGTATTGTGAAACTTTTCAAACCAGACCCGTGGAGCCTATTTCAAACCATATAGGGACATTTTCAGCTTACAAATATCATGTGAATGTGTAGAAAATAAGCCTGGAGGAGTCATATAGACGTCTTCTTTGAGATCCCCATGTAAGAATGCATTCTTAACATCCATCTGCTTTAAGAACCAGCCTTTAGAAGCAGCAATAGATAACACCAGTCGGACAGTTGTCATCTTAGCCACAGGTGCAAATGTTTCGTCATAATTAATCCCGTATTCCTGTCGATTGCCAAGAGCTACCAATCTTTCCTTATATCTGTCAAGAGAGCCATCAGATCGGAGTTCAAGAGAATAAACTCATTTACATCCAATGGGTTTAACACCTGTAGGACATGAAACAATATCCAAAGTGTGATTGTCTTGAAGTGCCTGAAGTTCCTCTTTCATGGCTTTGACCCAGCAAATCTGTTTAACAACTTGAAAGTAAGAGGTAGGAACAGTAGTATTAGTTAAAATTGCAGAATACCCATATCTATCTGGAGGACGCATACGTCGGGTTGATCGTCAAATACTTATTGGAGCAATTTCTGGATCGGGGTCGGGGAGGATTGAAGGTGAAGGGGGCAGTCGTCGTGTGTAGAAAATGTCTGGCTTGAACTGTTTATCAGCAGAAGAGTTATCAAATTGTGGAAGTATAACTGTATCTGATGTGGACACATGATGCTGAAAGTAATATTCATGTTCAAAGAAAATCACATTTCGAGAAATATGTCATCGACTATTAATCGAATCATAACACACAAAACCTTTATGATTAGGACTGTACCCCATAAATGCACATCGTACTGACTGAGCTGCCAATTTATGACGTTCATGAGCAGGTAGATGAACAAAGCAAACACATCCGAAAGTATGTAGCGTATGATAATTAGTGTGTTTATCAAAAACTCGATAGTAGGGAAGGGAGACTCATATTTCAATTGTTGAGATGGTAAGCGATTAATGAGATAAACTGTAGTAGATAAAGATTCAGTCCAAAATCTAGTTGGAATATAAGATTCTATCAGTAATGTGCGCACGATATCTAATAGATGTCGATTTTTTCGTTCAACAACTTCATTTTGCTGCGGTGTATAGGGATATGAACGTTGGGAAACAATCCCTTTATTTTGGAGAAATGCTTGAAACTCATGAGACATGTATTTACCACCATTGTCAGATCGTAAGGTTTTAATGCGAGCGGAGAACTGAGTTTCAACATATGCTAAAAATGTTTGGAATACAGTAAATACTTCTATTTTGGCATGTAAAAAATAGATCCAAGTAAATCGACTGTAATCATCAATAAATGTCACAAAATATCTATATTGAACATGTGAAATAACTGATGTAATTCCCCAAACATCACTATGAATAATGTCAAAACATTTATTGGCACGACTGCCTGAAATAAGAAAAGGTAATGTCTTGCTTTTTTCAAGTTTACAAACAGAACAATCAACTACTATTTTCTTATCTGTAGAACAAAAAATACCACTTTTATGTAAATGCTTCAACACCATATCATTTGGATGACCTAGTCTTTTATGTCAGATGTCTGCCTTATTCTCAACAACTGAAAATGCTAATGAAATATTTTGAGAAACAGTAAATTGCAATGGAAACAGTCTACCCACTTTAGGCCCCTTCGCTATCACATTCCCCGACACCTGATCCTGCACAATACAACAATCACGAGAAAAATGTACTTCACAGTTATTATCCATAATTTGACCAACAGAGAGTAAGTTAGTAGATAATTTAGGAGAAACCAAAACATGTTTGAAGGATGAGTTAATATCACCAACTGTCGTAATTGAAATATTATTTCCATTAGCAACCTGAATATGTTGAGTACCAGTGTATGGTCGTTGGTTATGTAATAGCTCAGTAGTGCTAGTCATATGATTTGTGGCGTCTGAATCAACAAACCAAGGAGAAGTAACCGAAGAAATAGTTTTACCTTTCCCTTGAAGACCGAGAGCAGAAAATGCAGAGAGAATCATCTGTTGACCATATAAGGTGTGACAGTTGATTGATTATTATCAGCAACAGTAGAAGTCGAGGCAGGATTGTCAGATACCGTGGCATGGAGTGCTTGTGGTTTGCGATTTTGAGGTCGTGTTGGGCACTCCGTAAGAGTATGTCCCTTTTGCTTGCAATAATTACATGCAATAATCCTTTTGCTTGCAATAATTACATACCTTATTTTCACAATTCCGTGCAATATGACCAAATTTCTTCACGTTGTAGCACTGCACTGGCCCCTTCCCTTTGGTCTTAGCAGCATAGGCCACATTAATTATTTCTGATGATCCACCTATTGTACTGATAGTAGCTTGTGTCGTCAATCTTTGTTCTATGCGCAGTAATTGCCCAAAACAAATATCCAAACACGAAACTGGATCTCTGTTCAATAACCCAGCTTGAGCAGTTTCAAATTCAGGTCTCAGTTTCATTAAAAACTGATCACGACGACTTTCTTCCACTAAAAACTGATCACGACGACTTTCTTCATGAATAGCTTGAAGACTAGCTAAGTTCTCTTTTGACACTTTAGCATAGATAATACCAATATATTTGCTCCATAAATTTAAAAAATCAGAATAATATTGTTCAATTGAAAGATTACCCTGACTATAATTATTCATGTCAAGTTCCAATTGGAGCGTTTCACAGAATTAACTTGATTATAAACGCGTTTTAAATATTCCCACATTTCTTTAGTTGTGCTAAAGGATCGTAAATTGTTTATCATATGAGCCTCAATAGATCCCAAAATTTAGGAAACAATCCGAGCATCCTTTGCTTCTCATTGACCAAGATCTTTTGTCTCAGTAGGAGCTGGGGAAGATCCATCAAAATGACCCCAAAGCTTCTTCCCTTTTAAGAACATTCTGAGCTGAAATTCCCATGCGACATAATTCTTTCCCGTAAATCTGATAGCTAAGATTTTAGAAGACATTTTAAATATATTAATCTTGATCGAAATATCTAAGATAAATAAAATTCAAAGGCTAGGGTCGAAGATCGAAGAGTGCCGCGAAGTTTGAATAGGTCGTGATCGTGACGATTGAAAGCAGTGGATCGCGGCAGAACGAAGTGGAAAGAGCGGATCACGACAGATCGCGGCAGTAGCGAACGAGATGTTGCACCAGAGATCGCGCCAGAACGAGCGACGATGGCGGGAAGCGAGCAGATTGCGGCGGATCGCGCAAGAGCGAGCAACCAGATCTTGACAGGAGAGAACGAGATGTCGCACCAGAGATCGCGCAGGAGCGAGAGAGCGGATGAAACGAGCAAATCGCGGCAGACCAAGCGACGATCGCGACAGGTCTTGGAGCGAGCGAGCGAATCGCGGCAAAACGGAGTATCAGAAGATGTCGGACGAAGAAGATGCCGTGGAAACCAAACTTTTTTTGGGTAGGAAACTGGGTGTGGCCTCAAAAAAAAGATTCAAATTAAGCATACAATGAGCTAAATAGATTTTTTTGGGTAACAAACGAATAAAAAGAGAGAATGATAAAGAGAACAGCTCTCACTTTTTCACTTAATCTTCCTTCAACTCAATGACACCAGCATAATAAAAAACATCAAGATGTCATTAATAAAATTAACAGTTTTCTTTATATATTACAAACCAAACTTCCAAATTTTGTGAAGGCGCAAAATATATGCAAGTTGATATTAAATAAAAATTTTTCACACAACTGTCTCTCTTCCATGACGTATACAATATGAGATAAACTGACCTTTATAGATGTGTTTGTGCCACAGTAAACAGATAACAAGCGTGAATTATTGAGTTGAATCTTTGTCTTGCTTTAGGTGAGTGTCCTGTAAAACATGATATGCTGTACCTGGACAACTGCGCTTGAAAAGCTGGATCACAATGTATGCACAAGTCGCTATGCTGAAAGAGAATTAAAGATATTAATCATGAGAAACAAGTTCAAAAAATTAAGGAAAACTGGAACGCATCACTGATACGGTACAGAAAACCACCATAGAAGACTAGCAGTTTTCGACAAACAACAACTGTGGAAACTCCTTTCAGTTACAGATTGCAGAAGACAAATAAAACCTCATTTGATTTAGCTTTTTGGTTACCTTTCGGAAGATTTACAAAACATACCACTCAATTCCTATGATTTACATATCTAACACAAACTTCATTTTTTAAATACATACCACCTTACCTATGAATGAAAAAGTGTATTTCACTTTTCATAAGTTAAAATGTGATATTTTTTGTGGTGTGAAAAATTTGGGTGATATAAATTTAAAAAGAAAAATTTAGGTGCTAGATATGTAGATGCCCCTACTTTTTAATAAGATAACTTGGCAGAGTAGTTGCGTGTTATTTGGGTTAAAAAAAGAGGAAAACAAAAATTTTAGCTCCATTACAATAGGATAAGTCTATGAGTTGACTTATACTTGGCGTTAGCTAGTATTAGTATTTATTATTATATACTTCATTTCAGACTTAAATTTTATGTTTTTGACTTTTGTCCGTTTCCTCTCCATTATATCCCTCCTAAAGGTACTAGACCCTTTTTAATAGATCTCAATTATTTCTAACTTGCAGGACCATTGTGTAGCAGACCATGATTAAAGATTATTTTAATATATTACAAATAACAATATATTAAAATAATGGATATTATCACTCAAATTTAAAGCTTGCTTAGAGGAATAGGGATGTAGTGATTAGATTTTTAAGTGCAACGGTTACTTGAATGCAGTTACTATTATTTTGAATGATATTATTGAAAAAATGAATCTAGTTAGTTATGGCGATCTGTCTGTTCAAATTCTAAATGTGGGTAATGGTTGTTTAAATCTAGTTACTATTGTTATGATTGATATGGTTGAAATAATGAATAAGATTACTCAAAATCTAAGCCTGATTATTGGATTGGTTATATGGTTATTAGAATTTTGAGAATGGATTGGGCTCACCTCTCCCGAAAATAGAATTTTGGGAATGGATAGTGGCTGGTTGAATTTGATTAATATTATTTTGAATATTGTTATTTTGAAAATTCTATCTAAAAGAAGATTCTTTCTAAAGGAGTAGTTAGAAGCAGACTACAAAGGGAGACTCAGAATAGGCGGTTGGGTTTGGATGGAGAAACAATGTGTTTTTTAGGAATAGAAAAGAATAGACCGATGGTAAAATATGAAGATTTTGAGTTTGCAATAAAGGGAAGAGCCTTTTCTAATGCACAAGAGTAAAGTTGGTATATAATATTCACATCATATTGCTATTTCTCTGACCTAAAAGATAAGGTCGTGAGTTGAAAAATAAATGTGTGCGTATGCATGCAAGAGCACCGAGAGGATATTTTCCTTATTCTAATTTATCTTTAGTAAGTCCTGCATGAGGCATTAAACCTATTTTATATAACTTTTAAACACAACTTCAATCCATATTTCCCTGTCACATCAATTTATATTAATTTTATTTATCCATCATATTAGTGCATCATCGATGCTCTATTGTACATATTAAAATAACCGAACTAGACTCTCAGAGCACTTTATCTTCACTAAATATTGCTCATACAATCAAAAAATTAAGATGCATCAACACTTTATCATTAAGGACTGACCAATGTTCGATAAGTCAAACATGGACACATATTTTGTCTCGACTCGGCTTAATAACTTAGAATTAACTAAATTAGGAACTACGGTTGTACGATATTAACCTATTTCTCTTTATTTTATTTTATATAAGTTATTACAATAAATCATCAAAACTTCAAATAGTAAAAAGTGTCGCTAAAAAATCACAAAATACACTAAAGAATAATCAAATTCAACCAAAGCAACAACATAGTATGAAAGTAAAATAATATCACAATTCAACCAACAATCCAATATTACTCGAAAACAAACACTATTAAAGACTAGAACATTAACAAATATCCTACTACTTAGTATAAGTATTATTCCTCCTGTAAATCAAATCTCACATATCAGACATATCAATCAAGATTTTTGCCTAAAAGAAATAATTAATTTCAACAGTATACTTATCACCACTTTGTAAGCAAGTACAATTTTACTATACATTAAATTGAATGTCCCAAAAAATTATGGTTCATTAATTAATCAAATTATAAGTTTTCATTTTAAATTAATTATTTCCATTTCAAATTAAGTAATTTCATTCCTAACTCTTTTAAGAAATGATATTAAGACCACTGTCATACCTAACGATATCTTCAAAAAGTTGCACGTTTGGGCAACCTAAAAATTTATAACCGTAAGTACCCTCATTACACCATTACCATTTTTTTTTGTGCACTGGTACAATAATATCCCACAACTAATACCATGAGGAGATAAATCCTAAATGAGTTAATCATTTATGTTTCATTTCCTTTTATTATATCCATTTAAATTCATCGAACAACGATTTACCCTTTCTCGTTTTATTTACTTTCATTTTAAAGATTTTTTAACTTCAAATATGCATATGTAATAAGAAAAGCATGTATTTTTAAGAAAATAATGCAAATCGGTTTTAAATAATTCTTCAATTTAGTACAAATAAGAAAGCAATTACTCACCTTTGCCTCAAAAGACCACAACTATGAAATGATCATTTCCAAATCTTTAACTTGTTATACTGACTATAAATCATGTTTTACATTTCATCATAATTAAATGCTGATAAATAATTTTTTTTCTTTAACAATGTTAATAAAAGTAAACTCGAGCCTTACTTCCTTATCCCCTCTTCTTTTGCACAAACAATGATTTCGATCTCCCTTACCTTTTATTTCAATTGCTTCACAAGTTAAAATCACCATGATTAATTTATAGAATTTAATATAACTTAATAACATTTAATTAGTAAACTAAAATAACTTACATAAATGAAACATCAAACCCTTACCTCCAATATTGCTAACATTTTTCTATCCAATCTAATTATTCTATGTTATTTATACTTCTAAATTTCTAATTAATTAAACTTACTATTAACAGTTAATTAGTGAATAAAATAACGTACATGAATGAAACAACAAACCCTTGCCTCCATTATTGCCAACATTCCTCTATCCAATCCAATTATTCAGTGTTTTTTATACTTCTAAATTTCCAATTAATTAAACTTACTATTAACATTTCATAATTAAACGTATATTTTAAATTCATAAATTAATATAAATAAACCCTAACTGACCTTAAACCTTCTTTGCCATTGTTCGAGTCGTCTATCCTGCACACTAGGATGTGTGATTTCTTGCTCTTCCCTCAGGCTAAGGCTTGAATCTACCCCGCCACTTTAATTCTCCGTGCACTGAACCATTCAACTTTTTCTCCTTTGTTTTCTTCTTTCTTCGCACCGAAGTTGCTCTAACTCGCAAACTAGTTGCTGAGGTTGCATTTCCACTTCACGCACAAAGGCACTTACCTCACCTTCTCCTTTCTTCCACAGAGGAGCCGCCCAACATTTCTTGCGCACACGAAAGTGTTGCCCTTCCCCCTCGCATGGAAATCTCACGGAGACTTCTCCTTTTCCTTTTTTTCTCCTTCTTTTGTCTCTCGCTCTCCCTCTTCCTCTCCCTCTCAAAAACTCCTAAAATCGTAGAGACGCTTATCCCTTACTGCCTATTCAATTATTATTATTATTATTATTATTATTATTATTATTATTATTATTATTAAAATTTAGTTATTACATGTGTAACATACATCAAACACATATCAGACAAATCTGTTATACATTTAATTAGAAAAATAAATAAATTCGAACATCCGTTAAGCAATTGTCCTGAATAACCAAGTTAAAACGTTATAAACCTTAACTAAATATAGAATTTAATAAATCAATGAAGTTAAAAAAAAGTTAATTATTCTTAATATTTTCCTTAATCTATTGCTTTCTTTGCTAGCCATCATGATTTATGAAAGGCACAAAAAGTTTTTATTCATGTTTTAGCTTTATTAAATATTATTATTTCTTTTAATTTGTATAATATTAGAATTTGTTGACCCATTTTATGTTTATCTGATTTGAACAATTAATATACATTATTTTTAATTTATAGGATATATAAGTTATAAAATCTTTCTATATTTGTGTCTATGTTTTAAATTTTCAAAAATAGACATCCTCTCTCAGTGTAGTATTGTGTATGTGTCCTGGAATTCATATCAGTGCATCCTACAATCTCATATAATCATTCATTAATCCATTCATCCAAGTACTGTTATTCATGCATATTAAAACTTCTGGTGCTGGCGTAAGCACTAACAATGATTTAATTAGTTCTCAAGGCCTCAAATTCATATAAAATCAATTGCATAACTATAGTCTTATTATACTTATCTCTTTGAGTCTTCATGACATTCTTTTATTGCAAGAAACTACCAAGTCATTTCTCCATTCCATTACCCAGCTAAAAGTTATGTCTTTATCTATATTCTTACTCATTTTATATAATAAATCCAAAAAAATTAAAACAATCATGCTTAGGAATCAGACAATCTTCAGTGATCTTTGTTGACTAAACTAACATAGCTCAAATACTGAAAATAGTCAACCCTGATTCAACCTGAATTCAAATCCAGCTTGAATAGAAATGGGGCATAATGCAAATTAGAATCAATCAACAAGAATCTCAATGCAATGAGGCTTGTGCAAAATTTGGGCTGCGCTGCAAGGGACCCAGAAAGCTGACCATTATAAATTTAATATAATAGAGCACTACAAAAAAAAAAATATATATAATATAG